AAAAAAAAAAAAAAAAGCCAGAAAACCAGAACCAAGGAAAAAAGAGAACAGAAATAAAAGACCAATAAACTGTTTAAGTTGAGCTTTATGCTGTGTCACCTCAGCCAACTCATGATTCCTGGTTCCTTTCTTGGCAGGAATCTTTTCACAAGGCCCGGCAAGTGTGGTGAACGAATTAGCAAACACCAGCATTGCATTTTAGCACCAGCCAGAACAAGCATGCCCACAAGCGTCCAGGCAGAACTCTCAGCCTCAGCTTTGGGGACCCAACTAGGGTTCATTTCTTCTTCCCAGCCTTCCAGAAAGATCAAAGACTACAGACCACTCACTTTCTGACTCACCTTTTCCTGTCAAAAGCTTCTAGCTGGGCAGGTAGTACTCTGGCAGGGAAATGGTTGTTTGTTGTTAAACCCCAGCCCCATACAAAGAGGATCTGGGGGGCAAACATGGGGCTGGTGGAGTACATGTGGAATGAGATTGTCTGATGTCTGTGTGGAGGTAAGGAGATGGCAAGCTGGGAGTGTGTGGTGCAGACAAGTCAGTATCGGGGAGATGATAACCTGGAATGAGATCATGAGATAGCAAGCACAGCCCTCCACACACATTGTGTGGTCTCAGAATGCCAGGCAGGAGTTGGGGCTGGGAGACACTTCTGAGATGAAGGAGTGTCTGTGTGTGTACTTATGTGTAATTGAAATGGCCTTGTATTCCCTAATGCCTCACTCTGCACACTTCTGAGATGAAGGAGTGTCTGGGACAGGGCAGGAGAATGGTGTGAACCCAGGAGGCGGAGCTTGCAGTGAGCCGAGATCACGCCACTGCACTCCAGCCTGGGTGACGAAGCGAGACTCCATCTCAAAAAAAAAAAAAAAAAAAAAAAATTAGTCGGGCATGGTAGTGGGCACCCATAATCCCAACTACTCAGGAGGCTGAGGCAGAAGAATCACTTGAACCTGGTAGGCAAAGGTTGCACGGAGCTGAGATGGTGAGATGGCATCACTGCACTCCAGCCTGGGTGACACAGTGAGACTGTGTTTCAAAAAAAAAGGGGGGCCCTAAAAAAACCTCTCACTACTTCCACCATGCAAGGTCACAGAAGACTCCTATGAGGAAGTGGGCCCTCCCCAGACACCAAATTTCCCAGCACCTTGATCTTGGACTTCCCAGTCTCCACAACTATAAGAAGCAAATGTTTGTTGTTTATAAGCCACCCAGTTGATAGTATTTTGTTATCAGTTTACTTAGCTTACACAAACTAAGACACCTACACAGAAAGCATTAATACAGTGCTTCCCAAACAGTAATGTGCTAAATCACCCCTGGGTCTTGTTTAAAATACAGATTCTAAATCAATAGGTCAGAAGTGTGACCTGAGGTTCTGCACTTCTAACAAGCTCTCAGCTGATCCTGATGCTACTGGTCCAGAGAACACCTTTGAGGAGCAAGGCTGTAATCATGTAAGAGTCATTCATTCCGGCCAGGCACCGTGGCTCGCTCCTGTAATCCCAACACTTTGGGAGGCTGAGGTGGACGGATTACGAGGTCAAGAGATCGAGACCATCCTGGCCAATGTGGTGAAACCCCATCTCTACTAAAAGTACAAAAAAATAGCTGGACATGGTGGTGTGCACCTGTAATCCCAGCTACGTGGGAGGCTAAGACAGGAGATCACTTGAACCCAGGAGGCAGAGGTTGCAGTGAGCCGAGATCGTGCCACTGCACTCCAGCCTGGCAACACAGTGAGACTCTGTCTCAAAAAAGAAAAAAAAAAAAGCGATTCATTCCCACAACCATTCCTCTATATCCTGGAGCTGCACTGAATTGCCATGAGTTCAGCTTCTCCTGAATAACATTCTCTAGTTTTCTATTCTGAGGCTCTGTGTATGGGCCTCGTTGAACATAGAGTAGATACACTGGGCTCCAAAGATTCTTGGACTAATAACTTCCATCACTTTGAAATAACTGAAGAAACTGTCCTCCAACTTCAGTCTTGAACATATGTAGATCACGGTGGTAGAACCAGGCAGTGTCCACCACTTGGATTTTTTTCTCTAAAGCAAGTGCCAGTTCATATACTCTTTTTTTTTTTGAAACAGTCTCATTCTTTTGCCCAGGCTGGAGTGCAGTGGTGCGATCTCGGCTCACCACAACCTCCACCTCCAGGGTTCAAGTGATTCTCTTGCCTCAGCTTCCTGAGTAGCTGGATCTACAGGCATGTGCCACCACACCTGGCTAATTTTTGAATTTTTAGTAGAAATGGGGTTTCACTATGTTGGCCAGGCTGGTCTCGAACTCCTGATCTTGTGATCCGCCCTCCTCCCAAAGTGCTGGGATTTCAGGCGTGAACCACCGCGCCTGGCCTCACATACTTCTTCTAATAGGTTTGTTCCTCCAGGGGTTTTCCTGGATGTCCTTGGTAGCTTATATATCTCTTAGGAGCAACTCACCCATCAGGATGTCAGTGGTACTGCATGAACTGAGGAAGTAAGAGAGATAAAACTATAGTTGCTATGAAATGGGGTGTTCTAGAAGAAGATGCTGGAGTTGTGCACAGCATGCTGGGTGGTGAGGACAGGAACCAATAGAGATACTGGAGGAGGTATAGAAATGCAAGTTCTCTTCAGACCCTTGTGGCTACTGATTAGGTGGGGTGATAGCCAGGTAGATGTAGATTCCAAGAGTCATTAAAGTATCCTCCAAACCAGGAGATAAGCTGGGGACCATGGTGGCACTGGGGAGAGACTGGATGGTGCATGACTGATGGTTGCCAAGAGGCCTCCATTCTCTTCAGTGAGGGCTTTTTCATCTTTTGGGGACCTGAGTCCTCAGGAAAATCCTTTTCCAGAAGTATTTGCCTTTTCAGAACCTTTTATAGAAAACATTAATATGGAAAACACCACTGCAAGAAATGCCTTTGAAGAAAATATTTTCATGGAAAACACGACTATGCCAGAAGGCACCATCTCTGAAAACACAACCTACCATCATCCTCCTGAGGCAGATTCCGCTGGGAGTGCATTCAACTGTGACTATAATAGTGTGTGGGGGCCAGGCATGGTAGCTCACGCCTGTAATCCCAGCACTTTGGGAGGCTGAGGCAGGAGGATCACAAGGTCAGGAGTTTGAGACCAGCCTGGCCAACATGGTGAAACCCTGTCTCTACTAAAAATACAAAAATTAGCCAGGCGTGATGGCACGTGCCTGTAATCCCAGCTACTTAGGAGGCTGACGCAGGAGAATCGCTTGAACTGGGGAGGCGGAGGTTGCAGTGAGCGGAGAGCGCGCCATTGCATTCTAGACTGGGTGACAGATCGAGACTCCAAGTGAAAAAAAAATGTATATATATATAGTGTGTGTAGGGTGCACAGCAACATATTCTCGCCTATGTACAAGGCATTTAAGGTTGGGGCATGGGAAAATGAGGCCCTGTGTGTATGTTATTTGTGCATGTGAATGAAACTCCTTGACCCTGAAAACAGGACAGGGAGTGGAGTGTGTGGTGTGATAAGGAACACTGAGAACAGCCTCCTGAGAATGCAGTTTGAGTGCTCTTACAAGGCCACAGGTGTCTCACGACCCGACCTCAAAAAAGACATCTAGTAGATGTTTGTGGTTTAACAAGCCCTTTCAATGAATACTTGGCGGACGGATGCTGGGGCGGACTCTCTTAGAAGAGCTGCCCCCCGCCCCGCTCAGCTGGAATTGTCTGAGAACTCATTATTGGCTTTCACTGCAAGCTATAAGCTCTGCCTAGTGATGATTCTGATTATAATTTTCCATCTCATTGAGGTAAGGATAATAATTAATTCAGCTTTTCAGAATACAATCCTGTTTTTGTGTGGGTTCAGAGCCCACAAACTGAAAATCAAAGCCACTTTCCCACCTGCTACTACCTGACATTCTTCTTCAGTCATTTAAAACTGAGGTATGCTTTGTTCTTTTACTGCAATGTATATTCCAGGAATTTTTTGTATTATTGTAATTATTTTTATGTACAGAAAACTCCACAGTGTACATTTAACCCAGTTTAGTGGCAAGTTCTTTAGCCTTTGCCTTTTCAAGCTTGGCGATGCAAGCCACAGACTTGGGACCCAGGACATTGCCTCCCCAGTGACGGCAGATCTCATCATGTCTGTCGTTGTAATTGGTCCTGATAGCTTCCACCAGATTAGCCAAAGCGCCTTTGTCTTCCTAGTTCACCTGTGTGAAGGCAACAGTGGTGCAGGTCTTCCCGCAGACTAGACGGCCCAGTCTTGCTTTCCCCTTGATAATGCAGTAAGGGACCCCCATTTTACGACACAGGGCAGACAAGAAGACAACCAGCTCAATGGAATCCACATCATGTGCCTTCACCACCAGCTGAGCTTTCTTGTTCTCCACCAAGGTGGTGACAGTGTTAACTCCTGCTCCAAGGACAGGTAGTGTCTTAGGGGGGACATCCCCTTTGCCAGCAGCTTTCTTTTTGGCTGGGGACAACAGCCTCTGCTTCTTTTCCTGCTTTGTCTCTGCTCTGTACTCATGGGCCACGCTAAGCAGCCGAGTAGCTGTCTGGTGGTCCAGGGCCTGGGTGAACTGGTAAATTGCAGGAGGCACTTCCAGCCGCTTGTAGAGGATGGCTCTCTGCCGCTGCAACCTGATATAGCAGGGCCATTTCACAAAGCGGGTGAGGTCTCTTTTGGGCTGGATGTCCTGTCCTAAGCCAAAATTTTTAGGCCTTTTCTCAAACAGGGGATTCACCACTTTCTTGGCCTCCTACTTCTTCACGACAGCAGGTGCTGGAGCCACCTTCATCCCATTGGCCTTCTTTCCTTTTGGCGTCTTGGACAGCGGGAGGAGAGAGACTACTCAGGGATTTTTAAAGGATCCTCGCTTCCAGGAGATCTCAAGTCGCCCTTACTCTGCCACTAATTTATTTCCTTGTTGCTGAAATGATGAGAGATGTATAATCTCCACCCCCATGGAGTTGTCATCACCTGTCTTGTGCATGTGTCTCCCCAGAGGCATTTTCAGATTTCTGGCACATTGGAGATGCTCATCACGAAGTGCGACTCAGGTACATTGGAGGATTCATTGCTGTCAGTGTCACGCGCTTGAAAAACATGGCACAGAAGCTGCATGACAAGGAATCTTCTAATGAGGACGAGATCTTCAACAGGGACGCGGGGTAAATGACAGGCCCTCACAGTTTCCATCACAGCTGATTTCCAGAGGATGGAAGAAGTCAGGAAACTGGGGAAACTGCTGGTGATGTCCTTGCAGCCCCACGGTCCCCAGGTTGGTGACTGGTGGGGGAGTATGGAGTCCAGCTGACCACCAGAGCCTGCACACCTGCTGCTGCGGGGGAGGAAAGGATGACTTCTACCTCCTTTCCACGTTCCAAATTCCACATGACTACATTTTATTGGCAGCACCCCGCTGGCAACGGAGCCTTGATATGTGCTTCCTGGGCTTCTGGCACCTGGCCGCCCTTGGACCTTGCTCCTGTCCAAGCCCCCGCTGTCTGGCCCCGGCCTTGGGTTGGGCTGTGCTGTCTAATCGCTGTCTAACAGCTGTCTAATGGCTGCCTGGCCCCCTCCCCTGTACAGGAAGTCCTATGGTTGCTTTTTAACTACTTTTGGCTGCCAAATTGTGCTTCTTTAAATATGACTGCATGTTTTTTACTTTATAATTGTCAAGAACAGTGAAGGGACTGAGATTTTTGCCTTCCCTTGAAAGCCAACAAGTTAGCCTGCCTCAGTTTCATGGATGCTGACAGAAGACACAAGACTTCTGGATCAGAGGCAAAGGACTTTATCACTTATGGCACAGGAAACAGCATGATGTCCATGTTCATGTTGGTTTCCCCTGAGCCCTCAACCTGTGGGATTGCCTCCAGGTAGGTAGTGTTGAAATTGATTTGGAGAACATCCCGCTGGTGTTCACTGCAGAATTAATTGCTCCTTTGGTGGTGGGAAGAAATCCCCACACACTTGGTCACAGAAGCCTTCTTCTGTGTTAATGATTGCTGTTGTAGTGGTGCGAGAGCAGAGGAAAAACATGGTTTGAGAGTTTTTCTGGAATACCCCATCACAAGATTATAGCTCTCCTTAGAACTGTTCTATAGATAACATCTTGAACATTGTGAAATATCAAGTTTTCCATTTGAGATATTCTTTCAGGTCCTGCACACGAGTGAAACTACAGACGCCAGCTGCTCTGAAGGACCCCACAAGAAGCCGACTCACCAAAGAATGTGGTGTCCACATCCTGATGCTTTCATCCCCTTTATCCCAACCAATCATTGACCCCAATTTTCTAGCCCCTCCCCTCCACAATCCCCTTAAAAGCCCCAGCCCAGAACTCCTTGGCAAGACAGATTTGACTGTCTCCTTCCGTTTGCTTGGTCATGCTAAGACCATTAAACTCTTTCTCTGCTGCAAACCCTGCTGTCTTTGTGTATTGATCTGTTACTGGACAGCAAGCATAAGAACGTGTTGGTCCAGTAACACATTTCTGGGGGGACTAGTAGTATACCGGGTGCTAACCCTAGTTTTTCCTTTTGTTTGCATTTCAGAATGAAAAAATCTCCTTTATATGATGGGGAGATGTGATGTACATACTTACAATGGTGACAGGGCAAGATGTCATTTTACTTCCATATGTCCTTTTTTTTTTGGTGGAGGTGGAGGGGTCCTTTTCAAATTTTCATTAATTTACACCATTTGTCTAGAACTTTTTAAATGCATTTTCTCTTTCAAAATCAATGTACTTTCATCTCTTTTTTGTTTATAATAAATACATAAACAAATCAGACTGAGCAGTCTCCCAGCAGGAAACGGATGTTGTACCCACCCAAAGGGCAGTGTGCAAGGAACAGGGAAACCAGTGGAGCCTGAGAAGCTCCCACTTGGGCCTGAAGGAGTTGGGGAGGGGAGGCATGCCCAGGGGTTGCCTGAAAGAGCTGTGCCTTTTGCTAGAGGGACATAGTCAACCTGCAGTAACTTACCGAGAGAATCAACAAGCATCAGACCTCCACCGAAACCAAGCAGAAGCTTGAGGGTAGGGGTCCAGTTTATGCTGAGCAGGCTGGAGAGTGGCCCTGGAGCGCAAGTGGAGAAAATTGAATACAGTCAGTTGCTCTTTCTCTCCTTGAAAGTTTTCTTATCACAGAGGACTTTGGTCCCTATATTATTAGATCTAAGTTCTAACTTTCTCTTCAAAGAATCAATATGTCAGTAGATTCAATTCTTTGCCTTCTACTTTTAAACTTAACTTCCTCGTAAAGAAATCTTTTTCGATTACCTGCTCCACCCTGACTCGTTCCAATTACCTCCTCATTCTCCACCCTGACTTATTCTGATTTCTGGCTCTGCCACAACCATTTTTCCCTGTCAAACCACTCACCCCGTCATTCTCTTTAAATTAGCCAACAGAATTAGTTTAGCCTGTGCGGTCTAACCCTAGCCAATAGGGGGACGACACAGCAGCAGGGGCCACGTGCGTCAGGGATAAGAACCCCTTTCCCTCCCTTGTCCAGGCGTGCGCTCACCATTGTTCCATCTGTAAGGGCTCAGTCTTCTATAGAAGTAGCTTGCCTTGCTGAGAATTAAAAAGAAAATTTTATATTAGAGTGCTACTTCTTTTGTGGCACCAAAATTTTATTTATAACAATATCAATAATAATATACCCTAATTTGTCCAGCACTTTGAAGACGGAAATTGTTTTCATAAACATTATGTCGCAAGTACAGTACATTGTTTTCATATACATTATGTCACAAGTCAAGCTCATGGACACATATGTACTACCCTGTGATAAAATGAAGCAACAAACTCTGAGAAAAAAAACATGTCCTACCCAAAGGAACATAGCTGTCAACAGACAAACCAGCACTTAAATCCAGTTTTTCCTGCTTTGCCCACCACATATACAAATACTGTTTGGTCTTTCTCCAAGGTATTTCATGAGAAAAGTAAACATTGGCTGGGCATGGTGGCTCACGCCTATAATCCCAGAACTTTAGGAGGCCGAGGCGAGCAGATCACCTGAGGTCAGGCGTTCCAGACCAACCTGGCCAACATGGCAGAACCCCGTCTCTACTAAAAATACAAAAATTAGCTGGGCATAGTGGCTTATGCCTGTAATCCCAGCTACTCGGGAGGCTGAGGCATGAGAATTTCTTGAACCTGGGAAGCGGGAGTTGAGGTGAGCCAGGTTTGTGTCACTGCACTCCAGCCTGGGTTACAGAGTTGAGAATGTCTCAAAAAAAAAGAAAGAAAAAAGAAAAGTAAACATCATTTGCATATACTCACAACTTAAAATAAGCAAATTAATAAGGCTGTGGGTGGTCGGGGAGCAGTTAAAAAATATTTGGCCAGGGGCAGTGGCTCATGCCTGTCATCCCAGCACTTTGGGAAGTCGAGGCGGGTGGATCATCCGAGGTGAGGAGTTCGAGACCAGCCTGACCAACATGGCAAAACCCCATCTCTACGAAAAATACAAAAATTAGCTGGGCTTGGTGGCACATGCCTATAATCCCAGCTACTTGGGAGGCTGAGGCAGGAGAATCGTTTGAACCCAGGAGACGGAGGTTGCAGTGAGCTGAGATCACACCATTGCACTCCAGCCTGGGTGACAAGAGCAAAACTCCATCTCAAAAAAAAAAAAAAAAAAAAAAAAGCAAAAAACTTCGATTAATCTTATTCCTGATTCATTCCCTAGATACTTTTTTTTTTTTTTTTTTTTTGAGACGGTCTCACTTTGTCAGCCATGCTGGAAGGTGGTAGCACAATCACAGCACACTGCAGCCACAATCTCCCAAGTTTCAGGTGAGCCTCCCACCTCAAACTCTCAAGTAGCTGGAACTACTGGCATGCCCCACCACACCTAAGTAATTTTTTAAATTTTTGATAGAGATGAGGTCTCGCTATGTTGTCCACTCTGGTCTTGAACTCCTGAGTTCAAGCAATCCTCTCACCTTGGCCCCACAAAGTGCTGGGATGACAGGAGTGATCCACTGCACCCAGTCACCATTCCCTAATTCTTTCATAGAAAATTGCCAAGTCAGAGGCTGCTTCAGAGAGATTCTGCCTGAAGTGGATTAGAACCACAGGGAGGCTCTCAATTTAAATTTACCTTCCTCTCATTCCACAAATGCCTGGACACAGAAACACTGCACCTAGTTATATTTTTAAAATTTATATTAATCAACAAGTACAAATTACATATATTTATGGAGTACAACATGATGTTTTGATATCTGTGTACATTGTGGAATGGCTACATCAAGCTTCTTAACATTCTATTACCTCTGATGAGGTTAAAATATGCTAGTCTGGTGCACAGACTAGTTAAGCTAAATGCATTTGAAAGACAGCAGGTGCAAGAAGATAGCTCTGATCTTCATGCTATTTTTCTTTTTTTTTTTTTGAGATGGAGTCTCACTCTGTTGCCCAGGCTGGAGTGCAGTGGCGCCATCTTGGCTCACTGCAACCTCTGCCTCCAGGGTTCAAGCAATTATCCTGCCTCAGCCTCCTGAGTGACTGAGATTACAGGCACCTGCCACCACACCCAGCTAATTTTTGTATTTTTAGTACAGACAGGATTTCACCATGTTGTCCAGGCTGGTCTCGATCTCCTGACCTCAGGTGGTCCACCTACCTCTGCCTCCCAAAAGTGCTCGGACTACAGGTGTGAGCCACCGTGCCCAGCCTTCTTCACCCTATTTCTTAAAAGCAGAAGGTAAAACTCCCATATGAAAGAGGTAACGTCCTTATCCTTAAGAATAAGAAGTTGAGACGGAGAGAATTCCCTATGGATCTTGCTAAAATAACTTTTCTCTTTTAAGCCTCCCCACATAACTTAGTTGTTTCTTCATAACTGAGTATACTTTGTGTAAGGTTCTCGTATCGGTTCGAACCCCAGGAGCGCACCAACAGACAACACGAGGCAGTGTGGAGCAACATGCTGTTTTAAGGAGCGCCTGGGTGCAGGCGGGCTGAGGCTTAAAATGGCGACAGCCCCAAGTGAGGATGGGACAAAGGTTTTAGTCTCCTGTAAAAAGGAAGTGTCCTAGTCTGATGTAACTGCTACATTGTACCTGGATGGCCTCTTTCTTGATCTTCAGGGATAGGTGCCTTCCGGCCAGGGTAGGTGTCTTCCAGCCGGCTCTCTTCTTGCTTCTGCTCTCTTGCTGACTCATGCTGCTGACACAAGTGCCCTTGTGCTTGGGACTGGGCCTGAGAAGGGAGGAGTTATTCATCTCCTTAAGCTTTCAGGCCCCGGGGAGAATCTTACACTTTGTCCAAGTCAGTATTTAAGTTACTGACTCTAACTGATTATTTGGGTCTTCATTTCCTTATTAGAAGGTCCCATGCCACATAAAACTTGTATTAACTAAATTTGTATGCATTTCTCCTGCTAATTTATCTTATGTCAGTTTAATTATTGGACCCAACCGGGACCCCAAGAGAATGGAAGGGGAATTCTGCCTCCCCTTCACCTCACATACCTATTTTTTGTAGTGAGAACCCTTAAAATCTAGTCTCTTAGCAATTTTAATGACAATATGTTGTTTTTAACGGTGGTCACTGTGATGTATGATAGATTTTTAGAACTAATTCCTCCTGTCTAACTGAAATTTTGTGTCCTGTGCCCAATACGTCCCCAACTCCTCCATCCCCAGTCTCTGATAATCACCCTTTTACTCTCTGTTTCAGCACATTCAACTTTTGTTATATTAGTTTTAATGTTATGATAAGAAAAGCAAATTGCTACCATATGATGTACGTGTTCTGTATCATTGGTAACTTCAACCTGAATAGGAAGAGCATTCTAAAACTGTTTTGGCCAGGTGCGGTGGCTCACGCCTGTAATGCCAGCACTTTGGGAGGCCGAGGTGGGTAGATCGCCTGAGGTCAGGAGTTTGAGACCAGCCTGGCCAACATGGTGAAACTCTCACTCTACTAAAAACAGAACAATTATCTGAGCATGGTGGTGTGCACCTGCAATCCCAGCTACTCAGGAGGCTGAGGCAGGAGAATCGCTTGAACCCAGGAGGCAGAGGTTGCAATGAGCCAAGATCGTGCCATTGCACTCCAGCCTGGGCAGCAAAAGCAAAAGTCCATCTCAAAAAAATAAATAAATAAAATAAAATAAAAAATAAACAAAGAAAAAACTGTTTCACCTTCACCCATAATTCTTTTGGTTTAAAACAAGCTAGAGAAACTTTAAGACAGATTTTGTTCTATGATAATGTGAAGCTGGGGCAGATTTGAAATGTCTCGGAATCCTGCCTGCCTCCCCACCCTTCAAATTTTGAGGTAATTTCTTTTCTTTTTTTTTTTTTTCTTATTCTGACTCCTTAACCTCCCTCCCTCCTTCCTTTCCTCTCTTTTCCCTTCCATCTTTCCTCTCTTCCTTCCTCCTTATACCTACTCTCGGGACACAAGTTTTCCTGTGAACTAGGTTGATACATCAAAAGCTGTCATTGAAAAGTGGTTCATAGGAATCAATATAATAATGAATAATTGATAATAATTTATCATTTGTACTTTCTAGCTTTGAATAAAAATTTGAAGCTTGCTGTTTGTCCTGCTTCTTTCACACTTTTCTCTTGAATTCTTTTTTTTTTTTTTTTTAGATGGAGTTTCGCTGGAGGGCAGTGGTGTGATCTTGGCTCACTGCAACCTGCACCTCCTGGGTTCAAGAGATTCTCCTGCCTCAGCCTCCGGAGTAGCTGGGATTACAGGCATGCGTTGCCACGCTCGGCTAATTTTTTTGTATTTCTTTTCAGTAGAAACGGGATTTCCCTATGTTGGTCAGGCTGATCTCAAATGCCTGACCTCAGGTGATCCGCCCGTCTGGGCCTCCCAAAGTCCTGGGATTACAGGCGTGAGCCACCATGCCCAGCCTCTCTTGAATTCTTTTATCCATTTGTCTATATTTTTCTTTTGGGAATGTTCTAATCCTTGGCATTGAGGACTGCCTGAAGGATATTTTGGTATATTTTAAACACTCTAATAAAACCTTTATTGTCTGATACAGCTGTCACTCAATCTTGCCTCTGACAGTCATTGCAATGATGATGTATGTGTACCAAATATCTTTATCTTTGGTATCTTTTTTTTTTTTTTTTTTGAGATGGAGTCTCGCTCTTTCGGCCAGGCTGGAGTGCAGTGGCGCTATCTCGGCTCACTGCAAACTCCGCCTCCTGGTTTCACACCATTCTCCTGCCTCAGCATCCAGATCTTTGGTATCTTTAAAGATGTGTTGGACACATCGTTATCCAATCAACCATTTTGGACAAGACTTTGCTGTTGTGAATTGTGCTGTAATAAACATATGAGTGCAGGATCCACCTGCTGTTTTTTTTTTTTTTTCCTTTCAGACAGTCTCACTGTGTCACCCAGGCTGGAGTGCAGTGGCATTATCTCAGATCACTGCAACCTATGCCTCCCAGGTTCAAGTGATTCTCTTGCCTCAGCCTCTTGAGTAGCTGGGATTACAGGCACCTGCCGCCATGCCCAGCTAATTTTTGTCTTTTTATCAAAGATGGGGTTTCACCATGTTGGGCAGGCTATTCTATAACTCCTCACCTGAAGTGATCCATCCAACTAAGCCTCCCAAATACTGGGATTACAGGCATTAGCCCCCGCGCCTGGCCCCACCTGCTTTTTTTTTTTATCCATTTCTTTTGCCACCTTAAAAGTCTGGTCAAAGATGGGCTCTCAAGCTGACTTCGATTATGTTAGTTGAAAGATCTCTTAAAAGCCATCTAGGGCTTTTAAGGGAGAATTTTTAAAAATTTGTATAGGGAGAATTTTTTTAAATTTAAAATTCAGACAAATACTACCCATTCGGAAAAGGATTTGTAGCATATCGATTAAATATGACCAAATGGTAATTTTTTAAAAGACAGAAACTTATAGGCAGCAAAGGAAATATAACCAGGCAACTACTGGGTTGATTACATGAATCTAAGTCTCTTGGCTTTAATGTACAGGAGGAAATCATGGCAATTTACAAAATACACACAAACACACACAGACACACACACACACACACACACAGACACAGCCAGACACACACAGACACACACACACACAGACATGCACTTTTTTGATTTTTTCATTTTCTTACCTACCAACCTCCTCCCATAAGGGAAAAACAAAAAAAAGACCAATGGATAACTTATTTGCAAAGACAAATTTTGCTGGAGCCAAATCAAAAATGTGTTACTTGGGAATTGCCCACAGTATCTATAGAGAGAGGCTGAGGTGCCCAAGCTCCAGCCTGAAGCACAGAGGTGCCAGGACCCAGAAGATGCGAGCTTCTTTACCTCGGGCCACTGTCCCGGCTGTGAGCAACAGGAAGCTGTAGGCCACCTGGGCCACCCTCCTCTTGACACCTTCAGCAGTGAATGATAAAACAACTTTATATAGATAAGCCTGAGGTCCATACCAGCGACTTGCTTATTCTCTAGAATGTAGGAAGACAAATGGAGATTCTGATGAAGAAGTTGTTCAAGATGAAATCAGAGTATCCACTGGAAAAAAAAAAAAAAGCACAGCTAACACTTTTAGGAACAGAAATGGACTGTGTTGAAAACAAATTATCCAGTAAGCTTGTGTTCAATAACCCAATCATCAAAGGAATGTGTGGCTGTGGAGAAAGCTTTAATATTTGACAGCTCAGGATTCCTCTGGCTCTAAGCTCCAGGAGAGTGTGTGAAAGTCTTCGTTCTTACTGAAGAAATCATGTGACTGTCACGTGCTTATGGTTTATCATCTGTGGCTGCCTTTTAAGGGAAATAAAGTGATGCATTTTGGAAAGGAAGCTAGTGTGTTAGATTCAGAAGAAGTGATATTTGTATTCTCTGCAGAAGACTGAAAATGAGAAGCCATTGCTCTCTGGATTATTTTTCTGTTCTGTAAAGAAAAAAATCCTGCTCTGCAGTTAACTCTCTTGCATCCCTTCTTTTATTTTTATTTTTTTGAGACAGGGTCTCACTCTGTTGCCCAGGCTGGAGTGCAGTGGCACAATCTCAGCACAATCACTGCAACCTCTGCTTCCTTGGCTCAAGTGATTCTCCAGCCTCAGCCTCCTGAGTAGCTGGGACTACAGGCGTGTGCCACCACGCCTGGCTAATCGTTTTTTTTTTTTTTTTTTGAGAGATGGAGTTTTGCTATGTTGCCCAGGCTGGTCTCCATCTCCTGAACTCAAAGGGATCTCCCTGCCTTAGCCTCCCAAAAGGTTGGGATTGCATGTGTGAGCCACTGCGTCAGGCTTCATCCTGTTAATCCGTTCAGAAAATGCATCAACAGATGTGCACTCATTAGGTCTCTATAGAATGGCTTGAATGTGCATCTCCCTGGCATTTTTCCCAACCACATTGGTGACTCTTAAAATTCAGAGGCAGAGAGTGTGGACTGCTGGTAGTAACACAGTGGTACATTGCTTTTCCATTCAAACTTGGCATAGACTTTTTACTTTTTTATTAAAAATTTCATTGTCAGATGCTTCATTTACATACCCTTTAGCAGTAGTCAGCAAAGATTTCCTTGAACTGTAGGGCAGAATAGTTCTGAGTGACAGTATGAAACAGTGAGAAATATTTTATTTACCTTGTTTGGTTGGTTGGTTGGTTTTATTTTATTTTATTTATTTTTGAAACAGAGTCTCACTCTGTCTCCCAGGCTGGAGTGCAATGGCGAGATCTCAGCTCACTGCAACCTCTGCCTCCCAGGTTCAAGCGATTCTCCTTCTTCCGCCTCCCCAGGAGCTGGGACTACAGGCACCCGCCATCGAGCCCAGTGAATTTTTGTCTTTTTAGCAGAGATGGGGTTTCACCACATTGGCCAGGCTGGTGTTGAACTCCTGACCTGAAGTGATCCACCCGCCTCAGCCTCCCAAAGTGCTGGGATTACAGGCATGAGCCACTGCACCCGGCCCCACCTGATTTTTTATCCATTCCTTTTGCCATCCTAAATGTCTGGTTGAAGAAAGGATCTCAAGACGACTTAAATTATTTTAGTTGAAAGGTCTTTTAAAAGTCATCTAGCCCACCCCCCTCAATTCTGTATGTGAGGAAGCAAAACCCTGGGGAGGCCAAAGGGCTTTTGTCTACCCTTAGTCCACAGGGTGAGAGATAGCTGGGACCAACCCACATCTCTTCTTCCTTATAGGTGACAGAAACATGTGCTCCGCACTCTGA